GAGTCCACTGCTTTTTTTTCCTTTTGTCCAGTAATCGGGAAGTGCGCTGTTAGCATGCTAGTGGTTGCTGCATTGCCGTGAAGGCAAAAAAAAAACTTGACTGTGGCCTCTGAAAGTCGGGGTTATGGTGAATAATTAGGATAACTTTGGACCACAGCAAACTAGTTCTGTTTTTAAGACAGTAAAAATAACAGTTTTGTTGACAAAAACAATTACAAAAAGTTGACGTTTTGTCTGTTAAAAGTATTTATAAGCTCTTTTAAACTCATCGTGGTGAATAATTCGGATAACTTTGGACCACAGCAAACCAGTTCTGTTTTTAAGACTGTAAAAATCACATACTTTTGTTGACTAAAACAAGTTGATGTTTTGTCCGTGAAAAGTACTTAACCCTTACATACTGCTAATTTCTTAAGCTTTCACAATGTGGTCCAGGTCAAATTTGGCCCAGACCAAGAATTCCCTTACAGTAAGTGTCTATACCAAATAAATAGACTGTCCCACATCAATAAATATATGTAATACATAAATATAATGTTTCAGAGAGCAGGAAGAGCATATTTTTGTAAGTTTTACGACACTCGTTTTTTGAGAAAAACATCTACTATCACACAGTATCATGTCCTGTTTTACAAAACAAATAAAAACATAAAAGCCAATATGATGATGATATTTATTACATTTGAAACTGACATGAATAGTCTGTTGGAATTTATAATATAACCATTTTTATCCACTGCAGCCCTTATGCTTATTTCAAACTAGTCAATGCATTCAAAGCAGTGGTATATAAACGTATAACATTTTGTGTATTTTGGCAAAATTTTGGAAAAGTCATCAAATTTCAGGATCAAAGAATGATGTTTAGGGTATTTTTACTACTGTTGAATGTCAAAATGAGTCAAAATTTACCCGAATAGTATGTAAGGGTTAAATATTCCAGTGTCTCGAAGCTACATCTCGACTAAAACAGGGAATCCACTTCAGTCCGCATCTCATTTTGTTGCAGGAATGCCCGGACTGCTAATCAATGACCATTTGTCCGAAAAGCCCTTATTACCACTTCCTAAAAAGTCCAGGCGTAAAGCTAAAAGCAGCGTTTGTCTCCATTTGAAATCTGCCCCAGACAGATAAGGCGTGTTGACCAAACAGAACACACACACACACACATAACACAGAGAGAATGCGCAGGTCACGGGGAGGACGCCATTGTTTACCGTTCCACAACCTTGCCCAAAATAGTACAGTGGGGGACTTCGGCTTTCCTTATGATAAAATGTAAAGAAATGTAAATTCAGAGCAGCCAAGGCCCACAGGTTCGGTTCATTTTGATGTTTTTTTTCTTTTGTTTGTGTGATTAGTACGTGCTTGGCTCGCTTTGGCCCGAGGAGGAAGGCGGTACTGAAAGGTGCCAGGTCTGATAAAGTGAGACCAAGAGCAATAGGGACTAATGGAAAACACCTATTAAAGCCGTGCCCCCATATGGACTGGACACAAGTGTGGTCAAAAAAAAAAAGGTTTTGGCCGACAATCTGTCTAAGGAAAATACACAAACAAAATATGAGACAAATGACTCGTAGACTGAAGGTCAAACCCTGGTAGGACTGTCACGATAATTATTATATTGACTTATCGTTCAAACATGAAAGACGCAAATATACACTATCGGTCAAAAGTTTTAGAACACCCTAATTTTTCCAGTTATTTATTGCAATTCAAGTCGTGCAAATCCAATGAAGAACTTGAAATGGTACAACAGTAAATAGTAAAAAACTGGAAAAACTGGTGTTCTAAAACTTTTGAGTAGTAGTGTATTTTGTAGGGGTGTGAATCTTTAAGTCTCTGGTGATTCGATCCGATTTCGATTATTGGTGTACCTATTCGATCCAAAAATGATTCCTCGACTCTAAAACTATTCTTGATTGTAAAACTATTCTAAATTAAATTCTGAAGCTACAGTAATTTTGATTCATTTTTATCATTGAGGTCTCGATTTGGTTCAAAACTATTCTCAATTCTAAAATGATTTGTGATTCTAAAACTATTCTTAATTCAATTCTGAAGCTATTTTTAATAAATTTGTATTAATTTTCATTATTGGGGTCAGGGTTCAGTTCAAAACGATTCTTGATTCTAAAACGATTCTTGATTCTAAAACTATTCTTGATTTTAAAATGATTCTTGATTCTAAAACTATTCTTAATTCTAAAACGATTCTTAATTCAATTCTGAAGCTATTTTTAATATTTTTTTAAATTAATTTTCATTATTGGGGTCAGGGTTCAGTTCAAAACGATTCTTGATTCTAAAACAATTCTTGATTCTAAAACTATTCTTAATTCTAAAACGATTCTTGATTTTAAAATGATTCTTGATTCTAAAACGATTCTTAATTCAATTCTGTAAGTCATTTTTCATTCAAAAACAAAGATCATTTATTACACATATTTCAAATTCCCTGTTGTAACAATCCTTTATGGCAACTGTACATCTATACAAAATAGAATTGCCAGGCAAGAATCTGATACACATATTTTCTAATACATTTTAAAGTCTATTTTCGATTCCAGACCCCCTCATATTTTGGGGCTATTTTATTTATTTTTTTGCCATTTTTATGTAGTAACTCGAGGTGAGACCAAACAGTTTCCAAAAGACAAGACGAGACAATAGTGGGAGATTTTGACATGATTTCTAATAAATAAATTCAATCCAGTTCCCGATTTTGGCCTCACCATTTTTTATCCAATCCAAATGTAAATACATGAGGGAAAAAAACTCTCTCAAGATCATTTTCAGCATGTGTGCACAATCCTGGAGCAGTTTTTTCTCATGAGATCTTGTGGCACGAGATCTTGTCTCATCTCTTGTAATAATGTAAGATTTGATCAGTAGAGGGTGGAATAAATGACTGTTAAGGCTAATTATCGGTTCATTCTGCCCTTTAGTGGTTGCTCCTCAGGCTTCTTAATAATACCATCTATTTAAAAATGGTTTACTGGGATTATCTTTGTTTTGTGACAGTGGCATAAGTAGTTTCAATATTATCGTTTATCGCTGTATTTCTCTGTAGCGACATATCGTGCATCAGAATTTGTTATTGTGACAGGCCTACATACCGGTCTGATATATGGGCCAAACCGCAGCCCATCTTTAGTCCATTCTGCTTACATAACATTCAAAGAACTGGTTATAAAGCAGCTGGATCCAACAAAGCTCTTGAAAATGATTTGCAGAGCGTGTAACCTTTGTAATGTTCGTTCTGCCGGAGCATGCGGCTGCTTTACAAACTGAAAAGATTGTAAAGCGTGGAATTTTAGTGAACTGTCAAAGTATTTTACAGTCGCCCATTATTCATTTACTCAGCCACACTTTGCGATTGTTAAGATACTTCTAAAGCCACAGCTGCCTAGGGACAGACTATTAGTCACTGATGTGGCTGTTATTCTGCTCCAACTGCGCAGGGACACAACGTCAGCATTTAAAGCGCGGGGTATTATGCATTTTTTGAGCTCTCTACCATGTTATAAAGTTATTCCCTCATCAAAAACATGCCTGAAGAGGTTTTAGATGTCATCCAAGCATGTTTCAGTAATTTAGAGATCTCTCCTGGGCCATATTTGAACCCATAAGATGGGTAAATACAAGTGCTGTCAAACAATTAAAATAAATAAATAAACAGATTAATCATGATTTCGAAATACGATTAATCACTATTAACTGCACTGCATGCTGATTGAGTTGAACAGTAAACTTTCTAATTTGATGCATTTTATTTTGTTTTTTCAAAAATATTGTATTTAATTAGTAGTAGTGCTGTCAAAAATATCACGTTCTTAATAAGTTAATGCAAAACAATTTCAACAAGGTTTTTTTTTATAAATTTTTTTTATCCCAAACTCGTTTTTTCATAAACTATGGTCACTGCTGAAATGTTAGAAAAACTACAGGATCCGGCAGTAAACAGGAAGCAAAACAATTTGTAAGAAACTGAGAAGCCCTGTCAGGTGCGCTGACGTTATTCACACAAGGAAAACACTAAATAAACTCCACTCCAAAACATACAGCAAATCCGCGCTGATCTTCAATAAGTAGAGACAGAGACAGAAGTTCTCTTCCGGCTGTTTTTACTGCTTCAAGCTGTTGTTACATCCATAAACTCACGGAGGAGCGCACATCATAAAAGGACTCATATCTGTCTCACTGTTTAATAGATACTTCTGCCGCTGGACTTATTTTCTCTGCTAAAGCGTTAGCACCGCTGCGCGACATGTAAACAAACAGCACCGTGTAATGACATCATCGCCCTTACCACAGCAAACAAATACAGTCACAAACACAGTTACAATAAAACTACATTTCCACAAAGCAAACCACTTTTCTATGTTGATAAGAGCATTAAAATGATTATTCAAGGGACAAAAATGTGTGATTAATTGCGAGTTAACTATGAACTTCATGAGATTAATCGCGATAAATTTTTTAATTGATTGACAGCACTAATTATTACATAAATCTAAATGTGTTATATTACAGCCCAACTGGTTATAATTTAAGTCTGCAGATTGTATTTCATAATGAATCTGTGTGGGACTGATCTACGTTAATTTGCTGAAGATGCGTCCACAATTGCATCATCCACATCCATTTGTTTTGATTAATCGTACGTGTTGACGCGTGATACAAAACTGTACACGACAACTTCACAAACCCGGTGTGATGTGCAGTAGCAGGACGCACGCTGATGATCTGTTGTGTGTTAGGAGTTAATGCCCCATACAAGAACTTATTTCTCTGTCTAATGAAGCTTACTGAGCGATAAATATTTTCAAAAGTTAAATAAACTTTCATCCATCTCCTCGCAGAACAACACACTCCTCACTATGAAAACACAGCGCTGCCCCTCAACCCTGCCCGCGGCCGTTACGTCACGCCTCTCCGTCTGCAGCAGAACCGAACATTCGATCCGGAACAAATCCATAAATCTCGTCTGTACTCACTGAAGGTCTTGCAGATGTCGGACACGGCCTTGAAGACTCGGTCGGAGAAGTTGACTTTGACCTTCATGTGCTTCATGTTGGGCAGCTGCAGGCGGAGGAGCTTGTGCTGGGGGGTGAAGAGCAGACGAGCGTCCGCCTGGATCCCGTACTTGTCCAGGGTCCAGTGGGTCTTCAGCAGCCATGTTTTCTTCTTCTCCCACCACAGGGCGTGATCCGACCAGTCCTTCTTTACATCTGCAAAACATCAGGACCGTACAAGGGTTAAATGTGATATATAGTGTTTGTTTTTTTTTTCTCTTTTTCTGGTAAAAAGGTGGAATCAAAGACAGCAAAGGTATTTCAGCAGCAGGTTTTATAAAAAGTTATCCAGCTTTTTCAGTTCCAATAGCAATTCTGATACTTTAGGTTTAAAAGTGGATGTCATTGATTTGCCTGGAATGTTACACAGTGTGACATTAAACAGCTCTACTTTGCATTTATTCAATTACAGGTGGTTTTATAGCTCAAAAATACTTAGAAATACCTAGAAAAACAGGCATTCCGACTTTGAGCGGGGTCACCTCTCCACAGATCTGACCTGTAACACTTATTCTTATTTATTTGTAAAGGGACAGCACATATTAATGAACATGTGAAATGTAAATATGTAAAGATTATAGCCAGCGTGGCCATCTTCAGTCCCTCGGCAGGTTGATGTGAAATCATCTACAGCAGAGGTGTCAAACATACGGCCCAGGAGCCGGCCCTTCAAGACCTTTAATCTGGCCCTCAGATTTTCTACTAAAATATTTTAATTATATTTTCTATTAAAATACTGATAATTTTCTGCGCCTCTTAGCATAGCAGCGTCTCCAGCGTCTCTGTGCGTGGCCCCTCCCACCAGAGCAGCACAAATGAAAACTTGTTTTGACTGTTGACCGTGACTCCCTCATCAGAAAAATGTCAAAAATGAGAAAAGTGGAGCCGAGTGCAGGATTTTACAAGAAAAATGGACTTATTCCTATTTTCCTATTACAAGTTAATGTTAAAACATTGCGTTGAATTGCATTTTTCTTAAAATTTCAGGTTGTTCATAATATTATAAAAGAAAGACTTCATCAATTAAAAAAGATTTCTGTAATAGATTTGTGTTTCTCTGCAAAAATATTTGAACTTATTGCTATTTTTGGGGTATATATGCCACGGGGTTTCTGACAACAACAACATCTAACAACATTACAGGTTATAGGTTATTTTTTCAGACCAAGAGTTTGTTTTTCATACTTGACAGTTTCGACTGCTCAGAGTCGTCATGTGATGTTGCTGTGTCGATTTAAACAGGATTTGGCGCTGTCTTCGTACCGGTGGAGGCAGGACGACAGCGCCATCTGCAGTCCAACTTCCCCAGGACAGTATCCCAGGTGTGTGAGAGTAAAAAAGTCCCCTCGCCCCGGTTTATTGTTCCGTGGGCAAGTTTCTGCATTTCGATTGCCTCTTTAATCCAGCGACAGTGTTTGTTTTCCTCTGTCCCAAGGATGTTTGCTCCGTCCCAGTCCATAATGTGGTTCTTTCTTTTACAGTGGACAGAAACGGACGATTTGAGTTGTTCCTATTCCGCTTTGTGTTTTGTTGCTCGTGTGCACACCTTCACGGTTTTCTTCTCGCATTCTGTTCTATGTTCCTTTTTTCGTGTACTGAACGTGACCACTCTGAGGAAGACCGCTAGTGATCAGTCGAAACTGTCAGGTATGAAAAACAAACTCTTGGTCTGGAAAAAGAACCTAATAACGTATAATATCGGAAAACCAAATGAACCTCATTGGACTGTAACAACATTATAAATATGACTAAAAGCTCAAAAGAGTCTATTTTGTGTAATATTAGACCTTGAAGGATCAACCGATACCAGACAGAGAATGAAAACGGCATTAATTTCCTTTAAACAAAAATAAAATAAGACAAAACTGATCCAAATGTGTTACGTTGTTGTTATTTACCAGCAAATCGTATCATATCGGTGCATCCCTAGGTAAAGTGGTCACATGTGGTCGTTATAAATTGCAAACGTAGCACTTTTGGAATCTTCGGAGACCAGATCCATTTTCAAAAATATGACAAGCTTAGTTATTACCGGAATAACTTTTCTTCCTGTGGACCGCTGCTCTGTTGATGCAATCTTGGCGTTTAAAGTGGAACTAAACACTAAATCAACTTTTTTGTTACAAACCTCTGTGTACGTCTACCGTTTCTGGTCCTTTTTTGGCCGTTTTAGTTCAAACTAGGTAAACATCCAGCAACCTGAGCGCATGTTGCCTCTAGCGGTCACTGCAGTTTAAAGTACTACGTGACATCGCACAGAACTGTCCTAATTCTGTCCAGTTTGGTGTTTCTGATTAACAAAGCCACACATCTGGAGCACTCTTTAAAGACTACAAGATTCACCGAACTCGCAATTTGAATGGACATACTGTATTTGAGGCCTATTTACAAGATCGATTAGGCCTGTAACGATAACAGATTTTCCTGGACGACTAATTGACCAAGAAATTATTGCGATAATCGATAATATTGACATTTTGAGACCATTTTCAACTAATCTAATGACAATGGAATAAAAATGCAAATACATCCTTTCAAAAGATCAATAAACTACTTTCTTTAACACAGAACATTTAACACAGGAACTGCAAGACGACCAAAAACAATAGGCCTAAATAAAATCCATCTCCTCATTTCCAGCGGCAATAGGAGTAAGTGTTTGTGTTGGGTATGAATGTTGACAAGTATATTTGGAGCACTTTGTGGCATTTTGTTATCCTGATTCATCAGCCGGTTTCACTTCGTACAAACTGTCTGACCTTGCAGCGTTAGAATTCGTTCGCTTGACGGTAGGCGGTTACTTTTTTCATTTAACCAATCACTGCTATTTGGTCATGACTAGGGATGGGCGTGATTAGTCGATTAATCGATAATTGATCATTAAGAATTTCATCGATTACGTTAATTTTAATCGACAAACCGAATGTAGGTTGCTGTGCGTAGCGTGACCAAACAGGGGTCCGTACATGTGTCTCTCTGCACTCAGAAGGAGCGAGCAAACACGAAACAGTCGGTCAGTCTGCAACGTACCGAAGCACAAATGCGTATTTAACGATGATTTGTACAAGAAATTCCACGCTTTCTGTTCCAGTCGGGACAAGTGTGAGGCCATGTGCACAGTGTACAAAGCAGCACATATGGTTTCGGTGTCCAGTGTGAAAAAGTTCACCAGGACACCGAAAACATGAAAAAGTTTTACCAGGTGAGAGTCGCTCAATGTCGATGACGAGGCCCCACCTCCCTCCCCCCGTACGGTGTCCTGGTTTTGACAAACGCAAATCTGGTCACACTAACCTGTATTCCACTGAGTCATGTCTTTTAATCCGACAGAAATTGAACCACATCAGTGACACAAGAGCTGTAGTTTTATCTTCGCTTAGTTTATGCAAATTAGCGATGCAGGTTTTAAGTTTTGTTTCTGTGAGAGTTGAACAAAACTGAATTAAACACATTATAATGTCAAACGGGCTGATGTGGCTCTAGAGTCGTTACGGTTTATATGTCGTAAAGTTGAATTTATTTATGCAGATTAGTAGTGCAGATAGTAATAATAATGATGATCATTTTAATATAAAAACGTTAATGATTAATCGATAATCGATCGTTAATTCTTCCAACGATCGATTAAGAAAATTTCATCGAAAGCCCATCCCTAGTCATGATGTATGTAATGCGCTGCTAAAGGGGCTAACTGGTATATTAAGCTTTTCCCAAATCCCATAGGAAGAAGGGCAATAACGTTCTTTCCCTTTGATAAAATTCACCAAACATTCTCTTTGTTCCGGCTTTAAATCCTTGATCTCGGGAATCGTTGCCAACACAGAATATTCCAGCAAATTCTTCAGTATCGGCGCCGATATCAGACACCAGTATCGTATCGGTGCATCCCTAGGTAAAGTGGTCAAATGTGGTTGTTATAACTCGCAAACACAGCACTTTTGGAACCTCACTGTACCTCATTTGCCGTCTAAAAATCTCCCTCCAAAGCGCGCGTCAGTGTCGGGTTATACTTTGAGTTTGTGACTGGATGCGTGGGAAGGGGAGGGGGCGGGGCTGCGTGGGCGTGTGGGCGGAGCCGACGAGCGTGTGAAAGACAGACGTGCATGCCTGTGTGACATTGCGCGGTGTCACGTTCCACTGTCCCCCTTTGTCCCAGGGCTCTTTCCGATAGCGCAGCCGGGCCACCCTACACCACCCCAGACGCCTCGCAGCTCTCAGGCTTTAGCCCGGACCCGGACAATAGGCACAGATCAGGGGACTCGAGGACTGTCACGTAAAGAGGCAGGTCCAGGAATGCTACGGCGGCAAAACGAGGTGTTAAGTGTTGGAGGGGAGTTTGAAAGTAGAGATTTAAAAGGTCCTGTATAACACAAAACGGACTCTTGTGAGCTTTAAGCCATGCCAGAACGTTGGTACTAGGGATGGGCATGATTAGTTGACGACTATATAATTGATCATTAAGAATTTCATCGATCGCATTCATTTTTAATCGACAAACCCAATGTAGATTTGCAGTCATCAGGGCACAAGGAGCGAGCTGTTTTTTCAGCGCTTATAATTTATGCAAATGAGCCATGTGGTTTTAAGTTTTGTTTCTGTAAAACGTAAACAAATGTGCGCAAATCTGAATTAAACACATTATAATCTCAAACGGGCTGATGTGGCTCTATAGTGGTTATGATTTATATGTTGTAAAGTTTATTTATGCAGATGAATAATAGAAAAAATATATAAAACGTTTGTTCGGTCATTAATTCTCCTGACAATCGATTAAGAAAATGTAATCAAATGCCCATCACTAGTTGTTACCTCATCAAAAACTTACTTATTTTTATTATTAGTCTGTCTGCATCTCCAAAGCTCAATGCTCTGTTCCACCTTGTGATGTCATGAAATGGGAAGTTTTGACAGCGACCTTTTACCTGTAGTTCAGTAGAGATCGGCAATTCCAGGGCTGAAATGATCCAAATGTTTCTAGTGAACGTGTGTGTGCAGTTTAAAAACACAGTGGAGCACTTGTATTACCACATGACATCACAAGGTGGAACAGAGTGTTTTCAGTTTGAGAGAAGAACTCGGAAATGAAAGTATGAAGGATGTGTGAATGAAACAAAACACAACTCCAGATTTGTTTTCGACAGTGGTGGAACGTTATG